CTGTCATTCCTCCCCCATAGCCCCCAGTCCCCCACCCCCATGCCGCTTCTCCCTCCTCTCCCCTTCTGCTGCACTCCTCCTTACCTTTGCTCCACACCGGTATGCTCCACACCTGCTATGGGGCCAAGCTGGAAGAGAAGTGCCAGCTCTGCACTACTCCTATGGGGCTGGGCTGAAACCATGCTCTGTGCCCTGGGCTGCAGTAGGGATGAAGCCTGCCATTGTGGAGCAAAGGTAGGGGGTGGGGATTGAGGGGCAAGTGCAGGGGAAGACTTAAGGTGGGAGATGGGAGGAAGGGTAGGTGGGGACCTGAGGCTGTGAGTGGCAGCAATGGTGTGGAAGGTTTGCGGGGAGGCACAATGGGAGGCAAGCAGCAGGGGCAAGTTGCTTCCTTCTGTCACTGTCTGCCCCCTACCATATGTCCCTCTACTACCTGTCCCTCACCATCCCCCACTGCCTGCCCCATTACTGCCCCCCCACTTGCCCTACCACATGCTACCTTACTGCCTCCCCGACTGTCTGTACCTTACCACCTGCCCTCATCACCTCTCCCCACACCACTTGCAGTAGTGGGGTGGGGGAAAATTTATGATGATCCTCCAATAATTAGATTCCATACATAGAAAATGATAATAAATGTATACATTTTCTGTCTCTAGAACTTAATTACTGGGTGGGGGGTCATCTTACATTCAGGGTCATCTTGTATTTGAGTAAATACATGATCTGGCTTTTCTTGGGATATAATCATTCAGCCTTTGTGTAAAGTAGCATAAGGCTATGTCTACCTTATCAGTGTTTTAGCATTGTATGAACATTGGTTTGTTATGCTGTCAAAGTAATCAAAATGCAGACATGGTTATACAGGCAAAGCTGTACTTTTAACTGGAACAATAAAACCAGGGTTTGAATTACGGGGAAGCTTGGGTGGGGAAATGGGGGCTGACCCCCCCATAAGAGACAAGAGCCTCCCCTTTAAAATTTGAAAATCATAACTGGGGAACTGTGGAGGGAGAGGGGGGTCTTTGATTTTATTAGGGGATTGTGATGGGCAGCCCATTTTCTTACTTTTTTTTTTTTTTTTTTTTTTTTTTTTTTTTT